TTCGACTCGGTTTCTTTCGAAAAGGTGTAGCCGACAATGTCCCAGTGTTCTTCTGCGTCTCCGATGTATCTTTCCAAGTGCAGTAAGACGAACTTTCGGTCAATGTGAAATCTGTCGGGCACATCGTCTGGGTTCATGAGATACGCAGATCCGCACATCGCCGGAATCTCTCTGAAGTCGGACGAACAATATTGCAACATTTGGGGGCATTTGAACTCTACGATATTGGACACGTACGCATCCGGCGTGACCCCATTCACGCAGCGCAGGCCACGAGGATTGTACTCCCCCAACTCCAACTTTTGATCTTCAATCCAACCACCGGATCTGAGCGGCACCCAACGAATCTGCCGAAAGTCATGGGAAAGACAGAACGAAACAACCGCCGCGAAATCTCGAAAAGCTGGCAGAAAACCGAGCGTTGGTCCATAAACTGAGGCCGAAAAGGCGAATTTTTCGCACCCTCGGATTTCCCTAGGTGCGGAGGCAGTGATGTCACTGCGGCCTTGAAGAATTCCATCTGTCACAAATTCCACATGCTGTCTCCTAAAACTAAGAGGGCAGAAACGTAACAAGTCCACATACGCTGAGGAGCGGCACAGCCGACGCCCACTTTCACAAGAAGCGGTAGCTGAAGATGCTATTTCAACATCACAATGTTTGATGGTATTTCGTTTTCGAGGCTGACTCGTCAAAACAAGGGTGCTTTTGTCATAGTCGGCACCAGTTCCTTGGCACTTAGAACCAGATTCGTACGTGGTTAGAAAAAGCGACGCAACCCATTGGAGAAGCCTCGGAGAATCGTCTACACCTGGAAGCTCGTGTGGGCTCCCCTTGTTACTGACTAGTTGTAGTTCCTTTTCTGACAGGCCCGCGAGGATTCTTGTATCTGCACTCTGATCGACACCCGGTGTTCCCGTGAGAGGTTCACACACGGAAGACAGATTTCCTGCTTCGCTGCCAGATGACGCAGACGTCTCCCCAGTTCGAAACAGTTGCATAGCGTTTGGCGCCTTTCGCGCCTCCTCTACTGAGCACTGGTAAAAGAGGTGCTCAATGCGCCGCAAAGCAGCGACGCGCACTCTTCTTTGTTCCTGAGCATTCGGGGGGAGTGCATCAGTCCTCACCTCCCTCTCGCGGGCTTCCTCTCTGGAGAGAACTCTCCACGAAATGCGATGCGAAATCCTGCAACATGAGGCTATCTCAATTAGCGATTTACGCCTTTCCTCCGGTGTACGTTCTGAGAAAAGACCATGGTCGACCAGCATGAGCAAGCGCTCGCGCGCGTCATCGTGTCCCGCCACAAGCGGAACAGAAACAGCAGACGACCCTGCTTCTTCTCTCTGCTGAGCGCCTTGTCCCCCTTCAGCTCGTGGGTACGTGACTACCACAGGGTCGTCTGCCTGACATTCAATCCAAGAAAGTTTTGGCTCGCTCAGTTCTTCGTTGGCGGCTTCGTGGTTCGTGGAGCTGAGTAGGCTAGCCCCTCCAGACCTAGATCGGCGATAAAACTTAATCAACTGCATCGGGGGTGGGTAGGCATTGTCTGGCCACTCCCCAGAAACGCCCTCGAGCATGGCCTGGTAAGCGCAGCGCCGCAGTTCGTCCACAGTTTGAACAGGACGCCAATCCAGATCGTAAAAAGACCCCGAACCCGCACGGCCCAGGTCCTTGAAGATAGTTGGAATTTCAATCGAACTAAGAGACGCTAGCAGTGCGGAGTCCAAGGGCTGATCAGTGGGAGAATAGGTAACTCCGCACGATAGATTATCGCGCAGCACGTCTACTGTCAGATAGCCGCCAGAGCTTTGTGTGCGTTCCCAGTCGAGCTCAATCTCAAAACTGTCGAGTGGAAAAGATGAAAAGCTCTCAGCTCGCCGAGCCATTGCGGGTTCTGCGGGTGCGTTTTGCCATTGCATTCTTCCATGTATAATCTGCGACTCAACCGCACCGTCTTTGTTCACAACTTCAGTTTCAGCAGCTTCCAACGTAGCAATTTGTGTGGTGGAGCACCCCAGCGCATCCGCTCCATGCCAACTCAGCTCCCTGAAAGACTCTACGCCAACGCAGCTCTCGAGGGTCTTGTGGGTAATCGGATCCGCCCTCGCCATTTCGAATCGCATCTCGAGGTGTAACGGCACAACGTGGCTCCCATACGCCGGAAACACATATTGCTGTTCAAGTGGCGCGTGCTGCAAGCACAGCCGCACAAATGTAGGATCTGAGCGCGCAAGATGCGGAAAAAACCTTATCACAGGACCACACGACGCAGCGTGATATGCAAAGTGCACCGAATTTAGAATCCGCTCAGACGCTAAGCAGACCAGTCGCGGATGATGTTTGGCAAGTTGAAACATCAGCTCCATGTTATCAGTCACAGCGAAAGGCGCAACGAGCAGCCGCGCAGCGTACCGCCACGAATATCTACAATTTTTGTTGTTTCGTAATTCGTATCTATCAATTTATGTTAGTTTAGCTTGAATAGGTCCGTAACACCCACAATTTTTGAAAAAAATTAATCAAGAACTACAGCCATTGATATTCCTTTGTCCGATTTCGTCGATCACTCGAAGAAAAATACACTTGGTGTCCGATCCCCAACTCGGGCGCCGGAATAAGCTGGTCGCGAAGCGCGGGATCCGCTTCAGTCTCGGACTTGCAATCGCGTACAGTCACTGATCGCAGGCCAGGCCAAATCCGACCACATCCGCGAAGGGCAAATTCCGCCATTCTCTCTTCGTCACCGGCCACAGAACCATTTCTGCCGAGGAAGTATTCGAAGTCGGACTGATGGTCACGCATAATTTCCCCGTTCGGATCTCTCACGAAAGGGGCCTGATCAATGACATCGCAAAAATATGCAAGCTCATCCAGGCGCCGCCTTTCTGCAGTTAGGGAACGGCGGCACTCGCCTGATTCCGGACTTGGAAGCAGAGCTTTGCTGACCGTTTCCACAAGTTGATCCACCATTTCGAGAAGCTTTTCGCCACACTTTTCATTTCGCCAGGATTCAGCGACGTCTTCGTGGTAAAATCCTTCTTCCCAATCCTGGGCACTAAAAGGCGACGATAAAGTAACCGAACGCACACCCCGTGGGAAGGAAAACCAGGGGAGGCCACATAAAGCTGCCTTCTCCCCAAGACGCACAGTGAGGGAGAGAGACGGCTCGAGAGATGATGTAGTGCTTAGACTCTTGAGTCTGCTTGATTCTGGCACATATGCAACTGACTTCGAAAACCCGTCGATCCCTGTGATGCCGCACCATAGCAAATTAGAATCTCTCTCGCTATCCTCTCCACCAGGTTTCGGAGGCGTCGCGGCATGTGGCCCCCCCTCTTCACAAAGAATGAAAGCCGGACTGGCGTTGGAGTCCAGCGAAATTTGCATGCACGAGGTAGGCAGAGGAGCATTGTTTGGGAAGCGCTTGCGCAGCGTCATATAAATATCGCGTGCGATCTGTCGACCACTGCATCGAGCCTCATTCTCGGAAACCCATTGAAACGACAGCACGATGTCCAAGGTCGCAGCTGGCAGGAGCGTCCTCGATATCGAATCCGAAGACGGGACGGATTCCTTTTCGACGCCCCAAATGAAAACGTGGTCAGAGTCACTCGAACAGTTACTCGACGCATCATCTGCGTCCACAGTTACAACCGTCCGCGGTCCACGCGGCAACGCCGAACCATCAATTGAAACTACGCAGTTAAGCGACGTCATCTCGTCCCCGGGACTTCTTTTGATAGTCTATCAATGATAGATTAAAGTCCACCAGATCTCAAAAAGTGAAAACTGCCAAGTTGTATAAGATCGATCTACAAGAAGATAAAATATGATTGTAGAATATCAATATTCACATCTCCCCGAATCGAAATAAGCTTGCACAAAACGAAACTGTTACAATCCAAAAATTAACCGTCACACTATGTCAACCCTAACTTTAGAGCTATGCGAATGATGATGTGCCCATTTCCGTAGCGAGCTCAACAAAACGATAGCTACCTACGGAAAGACTGGCTCAGTAGTAGGGGTGGCACCATCGACTTCTACGCAGCAGATCAAAAAAGGTCTGAGCAGCGTCGTGAGTGATCTTCAAACATCTACCAGTACCAGCTTCAATGACGAGAGTTAACCACTTGCTTCCCTTCTCCAACAGCAAGACAACGAGTATTCAGCATATGAAGATTCAAAAACACGACAGGGAAGAATCTATCACCAATCCAAAACACACCATAAGACGAAAACCAAAACAAGATGAAGATACATGCAACGAACAAAACAAGTAGAGTAAGAGCTATCGTTAAAACACGCTAATGACATAAGCTTCGTACTTTTTTACCATTTGCATTTGTGCAGCTCGACAAAGACCACAAACAACTTGGAGCTAAACAATTAAAGAAGGCAAGTAGATACAAGGATCAGTACTAGAACTCCAATAATCATTTTTACAAGAGAAATAAACAAGTGCAGCGATCAAATTTTACTTTAAAGTCTCTCTCACGTACTGGCACTTGTCTCTAACTACCTACGCGTAATATCAGAGCTGTTTCTGAGGGAACAAGAGAAATTTCCGCTGCTCTTTGACTTGAGTCGGAGGGATAAGAAATCTTGGGTGAAGGTAAAGTACTGCCATGATCTTGGACCCAACTTGTGCGTAAGATCTTCTCGTCGATCCGGGATCGTTTGAATACCTAGCGCTTGATCCGTTGAGATCATGAGGCATTTCCTCAACGCGGAGCGTGCTTGGATACATCAAGGTACAGGAAGATCAGTGTTGTTCTCACAAGAATGCAGACCATTCGTGGGTCATGTTTTGCCACTTGAAACATGAAATCCATGTTGTGCACACACAAATCTATCTCTCGCTCGACGCACAGCACTTCCTCGCACCGATACCTTTTCTCTTGATAGCATTACAAACTCCACCTAACAGTAGAGTATTCCTTGCTTCGACTTTTGCAGAGGTTCACGTGCTAACCACATTCCATAGTGCGATCAGCGTACACTCGCATCCTTTATCAGGTTTGTACTGTGTTCGTACGGTATCGCTATTCCTTCAATCTTTGTTCATACTGATACGTAAGTCTTCACATCATAGAACGTCGTCTCTTCAAGCCGTGCGTCATTGGTCTTTGCACGTCTACAAGTACAAGTGGGGGATTGCTTCGACGAGAGGGCTTCATTCTCAATTCGCAATTTGCTGGGAGGCATTCCCTGCTACATCCGTCACAAGATAATCAAGAAAACCGGAAATGAGTGGGATCATGTGACTTTTGTCGATAAATGTCTTCTGTCGAGAATGGAAAGAAGAAGGGGCTGCGCAATACAATTCGTATTTCTTTGCTCGCACATTCCCAGAAGAAGCAGCCAAAACCACATTTACGAAGTATTTGATAGTAATTTTGAAAATTTCCTGTACAATATCGAATAAAAGTTGTGGCCCAGATGTATTTGGTCCTTTTGCTCTTCTTGATGATCACCTTGTCCTCCTACAGCGATAGCGCGCGGGTCCTCTGGTGCCTCTAGCTGCAGCGTAGAATTGAAAATTTATGATAATAACTGAGCTTCCCATTGATGCTTACCGTGTTCTTCGGTGCTGTCAGTTTTCGACACAGGAAACAAAGGAATCTGATTGACTAGCACAATCCGACACGATATCGGCCTCACTGCGCGTCTCACTCTGATGCGTGTAGCGAGCCCGATGATCCGGCACGCTGCACGCCAAGGGCTGCATTGTACAGCCCCACCTTTGCTTTTCTTCTGGCGTCTCCTCTTGCTCGTGCGGCGGATAGCAGTAGTATCGAATTACAGCGGTACGCTGCCGCGCAGGATAGTAATGAATGATTGACGGACCTCCAGCAGCCTGCACCTCGTCTCGCCGTCTTGCGGCTTCTCTTGCCTTAGTAAGTACTTACCTCTTCATCCCCAGCAAAAAGGCGCAAGATCTCTGACTCCGTTTCATTCGAAAAAGTATAGCCGACAATGTCCCTGTGTCCCTCTGCGTCGTCGACGTACATTTCTAGCTGCTCCAAAAAAATGAACTCTCGATCGACATGAAATCGGTAGGGCACATCGTCCGGATCCATGAGATACGCACATCCGCACATGACCGGAATCTCTCTGAAATCGGAAGAGCAATATTTCAGCATTTGAGGACACGTCGACCTTAATATCCCGGATACATACGCATCGGGCGTGACCTCACGCACGAAGCGCAGGCCGCGCGCGTTGTACTGCTCCCCCAACTCCAGCTCTTTGTCTTCAACCCAACCACCTGATCTGGGCAGTATCCAACGGACTTGTCGAAAGTCATGCGAAAGACAAAAAGAAATAACTGCCGCAAACTCCCGAAAAGCTGGCAGAAAGCCGAGCGTCGGCCCATGAACTGAAGCTAAAAAGGCAAACTTTTCGATTCCTCGAATTCTCGTAGGGGCGCATGAAGTAATGTCACTACGTCCTTGAAGAATCGCATCCGTCACAAACTCCATGTATTGGCTCCTAAACCTAAGAGGGCAGAAGCGCAACAGGTCCGCATATGCCGAAGAGCGGCACAGGCAACGCCCACACTCGCTTCCACCAGCAGCTGGAGCTATTTTGTCATATCGCTTCATGGGATCTTGCGGGTGCTGCGTTGATGCAGGAACGCTTTTGTCCTCATCACAGGCTCCCTTGACTTTTGAACGAGATTCGTGCGTGGTCAAGAAAAGGGACGCAATCCATTCGAGAAGCTTTGGCGAATCATCTTCGCCTGGAATTTTCTCTGAGTATGTTTCTCTGCCCGGCTGCTGCTCTGTCAGGCGCACGCAGGGTGTGTCTGCCCTCTGGTCCGGCCCCAACTTTCCCGCAAGGGGATTACTCATGGAAGTCCGACCCCCTTCTCTTTTGCCAAGTGAAATAGACGTCGCTCGAAGTCCAGATAGCCGCATGGCTCTACTTCGCGCGCGCGCCTCCTCAACTGAGTACTGATAAAACAGGTACTCAATACGCTGCAAAGCAGGAACGCGTAAGCGCCTTTGCTGCTTAACGCATGTGGACATTTCGTCGGTCCTCGCGTCCCTCTCGCGAGCCTCCACTCCAGACAACACTGTGCGCGCAACCCGATCAGAAAGCCTGCAACACCCAGCAATCTCAGTCAACGAGTTGAGCCTCTCAAAAAAACTATGGTCAACAAGCATTAGCAAGCGCTGCGTCAGGTCATCGTGTTCTTTAGAGTCCGACGCACAGGCGGTGCCCACAGCGTCAGTGTCCTCTGCGTGGTCCACTGTCTCTTCACCTCTTGCGAATGCCACAGAATCGTCTGCATGGCATTCAATCCACAAAAACTTCGATTCGCTCACTGCTGTGTGGTCCGACGCTGCATTTCATCTACGGTTGTTCATAGAGCTGTGCACGCAACTCTCTGCCCGTGTCGATCGGCCCCGACGATAAAACCTAATCAATGACATGGGAGGTGGGTAGGCATTGTCTGGCCACTTCCCACGTACACCTTCCAGTATGGCCTGATAAGCGCAGCGCCGCAGCTTGTCCACAGTTTGGACGGAACGCCACTCCAGATCGTGATAGGGAACCATACCGACACGGCCTAGGTCCTTGAAGACGGTCGGAATGTAGATTGAATCAAGAGATGCCCCCATGGCAGGGTCCACGCAGTCAGTCGTGGTAGGAGAATAAGTGACCCCGCTGCAGAGGTTATCGTGCAACAGCCACGTAACAGCCAATAAGTGACCCCGCTACAGCCAAGTAACCACAAGAATTTTGCGCACGGTCCCAGTCGAGTTCAATTTCGAAACTGTCAAGTGGAAAAGACGCGAAGCACTCTGATGCCCCAGGAATCCCAGACACTTCGGTTTTCTCGGGTGTTTTTCCCCTTTGCATTTGTTCGTCGTCTTCACCCAGTGAAGTAGCTACGAGCTGCACCTCTGCCGCATCATCTTCTTTCACAACTTCAGTGTCATCAGCTGAGAAACCTGGATTCTTCGCGGCAGAGCAGTCCAGGTCGTCCAAAGAGCCAACGGCAAGACAGCTCTCAAGAAGTTTGCGTGTAATTGGCTCTGCACGACCTGCTATTTCGAAGCGCATCTGAAGATGCAACGGTAAACCCTGGTCCTCCCACGTCGGCAGTTCGTATTGCTGTTCAAGTGAAGCGTGCTGCAAGCACAGACGCACGAATCTAGGATCCGAGCGCGCAAGGTGCGGAAAAAATCTTATCACAAGACCACACGATGCAGCGTGGTATGCAAAATGCGTCGAACTGAGAACACTGTCAGACGCTACGCAAACCAACCGTGGATGATGTTTGGCAACTTGAAACATCAGCTCCATGTTATCAGCCACAGCACGAGGGGCTACGAACAACCGCGCAGCGAATCGCCAGGAACACCTGAGTTTTTTTGGTAGGCGTATTAAACGAAGCCACTTGGCAGAAGAACATAAGGACAAAGAAGATGAATCATAAACAGCATGCTCTCGCTGCCAGCTTCCATGTTTGATATAAATTCAGAGTGACTCCACGTGAATGAATAAGAATACAGCGAGCGTGCTTCCAAGCCCCAGCTCGGGTGCCGGCTCAAGCTGATCCCGCAGCCACGGATCGGGCAGAATCTCAGAAACGCGCGAGCCGACTGGAGAACAAAGCGAGTTACTCCATATCCGACCACATCCGCGAAGAGCAAATTGCGCTATCCTTTCTTCGTCACCCAACACAGAGCCACTCCTTCCGAGTAGGTATTCGAAGTCCGACTGATGGTCAAGCATGATTTCTCCCTTCGGATCCTCCATAGAGGGCGCCTGATCAATGACATCGCAAAAATAAGCAAGCTCATCGAGCAGTGGACCCCGATTTTGTCTTTTCAGGGCATGGCTTTCCGGAGGCGCCATGTTTGGAAGCATAGACTCGCTGACTCGATCCACGACTGTGTCAATCATCCTATAGAGCTCGTGACCAAACCGCTTATTTCTCCATAGTTCCACGACATCTTCACGATAGCAGCCCTCTTCCCAATCCGCTGGGCAGAAAGGCGATACTAAAAACTAACTGAGCGCAAAGCGTGTGGAAAAAAATACGAGGGCAAGCTACGGCGCAAAGCGGCGTTCTCCGCCAAGCGTGCTATGAGGAAGAGGGACGGTCATGTGTCCTCATCTCGACTTGATTTTGGCGCATACACAACCGTCCGCGAAAAACCATTGATTCCTGTGGTTCCGCACCAAACTAGAGCGTCACTCTCTCCTTCACAGGCAGGTCTCAAGGGAGTAGCGTGTGTCCCGATTTCATCGCACAGCATGAAGCCAGCGCTGGCCTCGGAATCCCACAAAACTTCCATGCACGAGACCGGAAGCGGGGCATTGTTTGGAAAATAATTGCGTAGCTTCATATAAATCTCGCGCGCAATCTGTCGACCAGCACCAGTGTATCGAACATCGTTCTCAGAGACGACCTCGAATGGTAGCAACATTTCAAACGTCACAGCAGGTAGGAACATCCTCGATATGGAAGATTCTTCCTCGTCGTAAAGAAAATGCTTCTCTGCGTCTGTTAGAATCTTATAAAAATATTAGTTGTGGGCGCAACGGCTGCGTCATCCAGCCCCCCGGCGCTGTCATTCGTTACCGTCCGTGGCCCACGCGGCAAGGCCGAACCATCGATTGAAACTACACAATGAACCGGTGCCGACATCCTGCTTTCGCAGACACTTTCACAGGGCTGCATCCGAAGGGATAACAAACTGGCTGTCGACTTGTTATAATCCCAGTTGTACAATAACAATACATCATCCCAAGTCAATAAAATAAATATGGTCACTTGCTCCCGGAATCAAATTGAAAAACTTGTAACAAGCTCCTGCAAAATGATCCCCCCTGCCTTTACTGAGAGAGCGACTTACACGAAAGATTAGTTCGTTTTCATCTTTATGTGGAAGCTCAGATGAAGGATAATTACCTGGCAACACTGACTTCGTCGGCGTGGATCTCAGACACGTGCAAGCCAAGCGCATCTATCATGATCTTGTATTGATCATACTACTTACTATCAGGTTCAGGATGAAATCAAATCAAAGTAAGTATTAAGTGTTCTCGAAGCTGATCATGGCCTCATCATTCACTATTTTTACGGCTTCTCTACATATGCTGTGTAAAGGGCAAATCACAAAAATGAAGATCAAAATCATTCATGTGTCAGCACCACATCAACGACTACAATAAATTTCGGTCGAGATATCAAGAAAACAAAGGGCTGTTATTTGAGTTTCAAGGCATCGAGAAAGGTTACATGAAAGGTTCCCGCAAGATCTTTTCCCCTGCGAGCAGTAAAAGGGGTCCTACATCATATTTGAAAGACACCGAGTTCCGTCCATCCGAAACTACCCTCAAAGCAGAAGCAATTAGAGTACTTACTGATACTGCTGGTTCCATTGTGATGTTGTATAAGTTTTCCAATTATGCGAAGTGAATCGCTCTAAGAAAAAACGGTTCCGGTCACCATTTCACCTTTTCTGTTTCTTCTCCATCCTCGGCCTAATCAGACGCCTCTGTTTGATACAAGCTGCTCGTGGGGGGGATAGCAGAAGTATCGAATTACTCCTCTCCTTTGCAGGTCGGGAGTATCATACATAAGTGATGGTCCTCCAGCAGCTTCAACTTCAGCACGTCGTCGCGCGGCCTCCTGCATCTTCTCCATGATCTCAGCATCGTGAGCAAATCGATCCAAGATTTCAGCTTCTGTGTCATGCGAAAATGTATAGCCGACAATATTTTCGTGCTCGTCCGCATCTTGGATGTATGCCTTTAACTGGTCTAGGACAAAGCCGCGATCGGTATGAAATCGATGAGGAACGTCACTGGGGTTCATGAGATAGGGGACGCAGCACATGGCTGGAATTTCTCGCATATCAGCAGGGCAATACTTCAACATTAGAGGGCATTTCGAAGATATAATGGTGGACACGACCCCATCAGGCGTTCCGCCACCGGATAGTCGCAATCCACGGGCATTGTACTCACCAAGCTCCGTCGTACCATTTTTCACCCAGCCACCAGACCGCAGAGGCACCCAGCGAATTTGCCGCAGATCATGCGCAATCGAGAACGAAACCACAGGTGTGAAATCACGAAAAGTCGGCAAAAAGCCGAGTGTGGGGCCGTACACCGAAGCCAAAAAGGCAAACCTCTCGCTACAGCGAATTTCTCGAGGGGCGCACGCAACGACGTCACTTCGACCTTGGAGGATGGCATCTATCACAAACTCCTGATGCTGCGCACGAAAACTGCTTGGACAAAAGCGCAAAACGTCTGCGTAGGCAGGAGAGCGGCGCAAGACTGGGGTGCTTCGTGACAGCAGTGGGGTTTCCGACGGCGTGTCTTGCGTATCATTTGCGTGTGGCATCGAAGTAACTGTTGTGCCTTTTTTCGCGGTCTCCCCCTTTTCACAATTATCGTAAGATTCAGAAAGGAGGAAGCACGACATAACCCAGTCAAGGAGCATTGGCGCGTAATCCTCGCGTGACAATGCCGAATCTAAGCGCACGTCCTGGTCCTCAGGTTGTTCTGGTGAGTGCAAAGCCCTGTGCATGTCTGGCCCTGTAAGAGTTCTAAAGCTTTCTCCGCTTGTGCGTACGCAACATGCCATACGTGCTCGCGCCTCTTCCACTGCATACTGATAAAAGAGATGCTCTGCGCGTCGCAAAGCCAAAACTCGAAGCGTCCTTCGCTCGATGGCAAGCGGAAGAAGGCGGTCGGTCTTTACGCTTCTCTCGTGATTCTCTGCTCTGGACAGAACCCTCTGTGTTACGCGATGCGAGATCATGCAGTAAGCAGAGATCGTTGCTAATGACTCGCGTCGCTCTTTGGCAGTCCGTTTGCGGAACAAGCTGTGGTCAACTACCAAGAGTACTCGCTCGTCCGCGTTCTCGCATAATTCACCGCGACGTTGCATCTCGATTCCAGACGGCTGCTCAGCGTCGGGACTGCCTTCGTTGTTGCGTCTTGGGCTTTCTAGCGCTATCAGATCCTCCGCGTGACACTCCGTCCACGAATATGCATCTTCGCATGAATTCTCGTTTGGTATTCCGACAACCTTCTCGCTCAAAGTGGTCTTTCCTTCGGAACGCAACAGGCGATAGAATTTGATCAATGATAGCGGAGCCGGAAAAGCTTCCTCTGGCCACGTCCTCATGACACCCTCGGTAATGGCCTGATAGGCACACCGACGTAATTCGGCGAAGTTTCTGGCACAGCGCCACTCGATATCATGGACGCTACCCGAGGCTACTTCGGGGTCCCTGAAAAGGAGTGGAATGTCCATCGAGAAGCTTGTGGAGATCATACCACCTGGTGGTGATGTTAGTTTTGCCGGTTCAAATACCGTTCCTTCGATAACATTATCACGCAAAACGTCAACTGTAAGGTAGCATCCAGGCTTCTTTAGACGGTCCCAGTCAAGCTCGATCTCGAGATGGTCAAGGGGGAAAGATGAAGAACTACAGACTGCGTCCGTCCCTCTGCTCGTTGTGTCTGGTGTCCGATTTTCGCTAGCCTCCGAAGCCAAGGATATCGATTGCTTGAGTTCTTTCTCCAGTTGTTCGACCAGGACGTAGTTGGGTGTCTGCAAAGAAGACTTCTTTTCCACAGAACACCTACTACTCAGACACGCATCCACTTCCTCAGCGGAGATGGGTTCTGCACGCGCCTCTTCGCATCGCATCTCAAGATGAACAGGCAGGACGCCCGATCTTTTCACACGCGGAAAATCGTACTGCTCCTCAAATGAGGCATGCTGGAGGCACATTCGCACAAAGCACGGGTCTGTTCGCGCGAAATGCGGAAAGAAACGTAACACAGGACCACACGATGCAGCATGGTATGCAAAGTGTTTTGTTTCTAACAGCCTGTCTGACGCAACACAAACCATTCGTGGGTGATGTTTCGCGAGCTGGAACATCAACTCCATACAGTCAGTCAAGGCGAATGGCGCAAGGAGCATCCGCGACGCGAATCGCCAAGAATACCTACCAAATAAGGAGAATCGAGAAAATTCAAAATGATAAAAAAGTCTGTTCGTGTCGATGTTTAGTACGACAATTTATCACTCGACCCAGAGAACAGTATGCTCTTTTTACACGAAACGACAACTCTGTCCTTATCAACCCCAAGCATGAAGCATTGATGAAGTCAATTTCTTATCTGTACGCGACCATCACTACATAGTACAAGACGCGTAAAATTTGGTACACTTGATAGCCGATTCCCAACTCAGGTGGCGGTGTCAACTGATCACGAAGCCAGAGGTCCGGTTCAATTTCATTTCCTCCCCAGCGTTCGAGTGAAGAGTCGTGCCATATACGACCACAACCACGCAAGACGAACTGCGCAAGGCGCATAGCTCTTGTATCGGCTGCGGGACCACACAGAATGGGATCGACGTCATGATCGAGCAGGAGCAACATAGGACCGCATAGATCTTCCAGAGGGCCCTTGTGGATGATGTCGCAAAAGAATGCCAAGTCGTCAAAGCTGCTCCAAATTTCTGCGCCGAAAGCACACGCGCCTTGCATCTCTACCAACGAGGAAGAGACCGTTGTGTCCAGCGCAAACTGAATGCCTTCGAATTCATAGACCCACTTCTGCATTGCCACTGTGTCCAGACAGCGGCCACCTGACTGTGCCTGGTCCGTCTCGCGGCGTGGATGAAAAAAAGATGCGATCGACTTATCGTTGTGTCTTCTTACCTCTTCACATACACCGACGACAACGGCAACGGTGGGCGGATTTACCCGACTACACGCTGTGGCTCCGTCGTAATCCACGGCGGACTTTGTCTTTGTATGTACAAGAGTTCGGCAAAACCCGTCTCCTTTTTCGGCTCCTCCACACCACAACAATTTTGGGCAGCGTGTCGCTAACCCCCCATCAACTGACATGTCGTCATCGTCAGCGATTGAAAAAGCGCATTGATTGCTCATCTCCGGTTCGAGTACAATGCTCATGCACGAAACAGGCAAAGCAGCATTCAGCGGAAACAGTTGGCGAAGCCGCATGTGAATGCTGCGCGCAATCTGTCTCCCATTGCATCGCGCGGCGTCCTCACGATCGGTGAACTCAAGCTTCACGCTAAAACTTGCAAAAGCCCTTTCGTTGGTGCTCTTGGTCACTTCGACTGTTCTTTTTACCGCTGACGAAGCTAATCCGTGGTCCTTTACTTCATCAGTTTGGTTTTGGGGCAAGAACTGTATACTTGATGCACCATCCAGGTTCGGGCTAGATGAACACGAACGGGCGCGATCGGTATTGACGCTATGCGAGGCATCAGCAAATGTTCGTGTGGTCCACTCTGGGGGTAGAGTACGGACATCCACACGAAAGGAACAATCAACGGCAACCATTTTGTGCAGCGACGTTAACATACAAAACCAAAATAAAAAAATCACAAAAAGTGAGGCACTAGCGTCGTCGTCAACACTTAATGTCTCATGTGCTGACTTTTCCGAAGGGATAACCACGTTTCGTTTTCCATCTCGCCGGTCGACATAAACTAAAATGAATGGAAAAGGTTTGATGCTGATGCCTTGGCTTCACTAAACACCAATGATCGAGCCCATAGAGTGGTTGATGACATGCGTGTAGACCCTAGAAAATCAAGAAATCTAGTGTGATAACAAAGATAAGAAGTCTGTTGTTGGAAGATGCTGCGCCAGGTCGTTCAGTCGGATGAAGGTCATATTTAATGGGTGTGTGTGTGTGTGCGTCGTGTCCCTATATTTTTGATGAATAGTTGATAAAAAAATAAGGTCATCGTCGATGCGCGCCCACAAATCACTGACTAGAATTCACTTGTAATTGCATTCGATCTTCTGAGTGGAACTCACATTTCTGATCTTGTTCCTGCACTGGTTCGCTATTGACTTTTCTCTTTCTGAATTAGCTTCCTTCTGACCCAATGCGCGATATCCTCCTCTATTTCTTAATCGTAAGAGTGATCTTGAATGCTGGTACACTTTAGACGCAAACGCGACCTGAGTTGTATGCTCACGATGTAACGCAGCTGAGTGGTGGTCATACATAAGCATACAACATGATGACAGAAACGACGTAAATGAGTTTGACTACTTTCGTTCAGTGCATCAAACAATAGGCTGAGTGACACTTAGGACAGCACGAACAAATACAGCCAGAGCCATTTTCCTTCATCCTATGAGCGTCTCTTCTTTCGTAACAGATATATATAAATATATTTGAAATAAACAAAACAGACAAGCATTCCGCGATGCATAAATAGACAGCGAAAAAAAGTTTCTGCAGGACTGCCTGCCTGCGCGTCACAGAAAAAAAATACCCCAGACTTTCTACCTCTTTCACGGACGCGTTTCATCGGTATGAGGGTAGTTTCTCCAATTCCGCCTTTGCATTTGTCTGTCTAGTCTCTCCCTCAGATTTCTCGTGTATCTTCCTGCGGCTGTGAAAACTCGCTGGTCGGCGGCATTTCCCTGGCGATAGGCAGCCAGGCTGTCGTGCAGACGCGCAATGCGGCCAGCTACAACTGGATGTTTGCCGAAGACTTCCGAGGTGTTACCTCCTTTCGCCTTTTCGAGGGCGCTAATATACCCGGTCTGTAGCTTCTGGAATTGCGTTTGTTCCTTCATTTCTTTCGTAGTCCCTATTGGCCTCTTCTCTTTGACGAATTCGATAAGCTTCTCTTGCAGGCCCGCCTTCATCATTGCCTGAAAGGCCTGTCGCCTTTTCGCTACATCTTCAATATTTGAAGTATCCTTCAAGCACTTCAAGTCTAACTGTTGCAAACTGCTGAAAAGCCTCTTCTCTGATTCGTCGCCATCGTTAACATTTCCGCTGAGAACTTTCCGAAATTGTTCTACCGAGTTTTCAGTGGAGTTGGAATGTGCTTGCTCTATCTGTCTATTCATCCGCATCGTCTGCCCACAACTAAAAAGCTGACACATTGCTAGTTGCGTACGCTCAGAAAGCTCCTGCGGCGTTTCGTTACCAGTTGGCGGAGGCAGAAAAATTGACTGGCCTTTATGCAAATGCCCGAAATTCTGGGGCACCCGGTCAGTTCCTAGAAACTTCGTAGTTCCGCAAGTCCCGGAAGCGCACGCCAAGTTGGTTATCTTGCCTGCATTCTTCCCATCAAACCTGCGTTGCGTGAGGGAGGCAGCCTCCAGGCCCATCAGGTCCATCACCTGCTGAGCGGAATGGCCCTGCGCGATCTCCGCTTGCATCTCTTGGCACTTTTTATCAAACTCCATTCTTTCTTCTGGGGTTTTGCGGCTGTAGTGCTTCTCTGCGAGCGTGTAGCCACGATTAATGGAATCTCGTCCTTGGAGCAGATTGTCTAAGTCATGGTCGGCCTCACGGCTTTCTTGGTTCCACCTTTCCCCATTTTCCGCCATCTCCTCTTGGGCCATCTTCATGAAAGCGTATCGCGAGAGATGCGTGCCCATGCTCTCTTGTCTCATCGGGTCGCGATCCTGCCAGTCACCTCCGTCGTCATGCCGTTCGATGTGGTCATTAGTGATGTACTGGGCGCGCACGTCTTCGCAGCCATCTGAGCGCGTGCGATCCCAATCGGAGCCCGTCCACAGAAATCTTGAGACGAGATGCTTGCCGAACTCACCCCAGCAATCTGTAAATCGTATGAGACAACATTGAAGAAAGCTGTTCTTTGTGTTGCTCAATTGTACACGGTCAAAGATAGAAACGAAACCAACGTAGTTAATACTTCGCAATAAAAATGGGTGGAATATCTTGATAAAAAGGGGGATTTCGCTACAGTAAGTGTACGGCTATCCTGATATAAAGAAGCGAGAATAAAAGAAATATTAAGAGCAATAAAACTTCGCAAACACTTCCCCCCCGAAACCTCAACCTCCAGCACCCAAACCCACAACCTCCGACACAAAAACAAACAAACCCGAAACCCATGAACCCAGGAACCCAGGAACCCAGGAACCCAGGAACCCAGGAACCCAGGAACCCAGGAACCCAGGAACCCAGGAACCCAGGAACCCAGGAACCCA